AGTAGCCGTCGTCGTAGTAGTAGTAGTAGCAGTAGTAGTAGTAGTAGTAGTAGTAGCAGTAGTAGTAGCAGTAGTAGTAGTAGGAGCAGGCATGGACCTTGCTTGTGTGGCGAGGAATGATTTCCTGTTTTGTTGCACCATCTTTAAATTTTGTTGGCGGGATTGTTTGGAAGCTCTAAATAGGGAATCGTATAGGGTTCTTGGCACGATGTGTTTGTTTGGGGGTCTGGGTGGCTCTACAAGTAGACTTGGGGCTCTGGTGACTGTTTGAGGGCTTCTACCATCTGGGTACTTGGGGGATTTCTGCGGTGGCTCTAAGGTGACTACTACCGTAAGACCCTACTAAGAGCGCTTGCTAAGCGAGAGCGGGTGGCGCAACCAAGGCCGCGCCAGCGACGAGCTGCTGAGTCTTCTCGGGCACAGACGGCCGGAGACCTTGGAACGAATTTGAGGCACACTCCGGTCTTTAGATTCCCACGGCAAATTCGGCCGCGGGAACCGTAAATCTTGTTGTTTGTCGCGCATACCGCACATCCTTCTGCTTTGGCCTTGTTAACGACAAATTGGTAGGTCAAAAACCTCAAAGGCTATTCCCTGGTTGAGTGGGCAAGTTTTAGACATGATTGGCAAAGGCGATGCGAAGATCCCGCCTGGCATCAAGAAGGCCGGACTGCAAGCGGCGACAGCCAGGGCCAGGACGACGAGGAGCGGCGAGCGACGGGTGGGGGCCATGGCTGCGGCTGGGCGGTAGAAAATGTGACCTTTTAAGGCACGGGAGCCGAGGACGCTGAGCGGGCGTGTGGCTTGGAGTCTGCACACTGCACACGTATACAGCAATAGCGAAGCCAAACCCCACACTTGATCTCACCAAGGTGCATGGCCAGTAGAGCCAGCGGTGCTTTGGCGAGAAGGTGATCTGCAGCGACTCCGAAACAAAGCCTGGGTAGAGAAGGTCCACCAGCACGACATCATCCTGTCGCAGCACGCTCGCGACGCAGGCAGCCCCGGCATCGTGCACACTGAGTAGCCGGCAGTTGACACGCAGCACTCAAATATCGCCCCATCGCACTCTCACGCAAGCTGCTGTCCCCCGAGCTTCCCGTGTCCTCGCACACCGTCGTGGCATCCAGTAATGCCAGCGGATGAGTCACGACGGGTGAAGAATCACCTGGAAATGGCACGATTGTTTGACTGCAGCTGCAGCTGTTGACGCAGCCTCCGGTTGTGTCTCCTGCTGCAGGAGGTTCCAAAGAGCATCCAACAGCAGAACGACGCCGAACTAAGGTTGGCAAACTTGGTCGAGTAGCTGATGCTTCGCCAGGCGTTGACCAGCGCAAACCGACTGCCGGCACACCGCTTGACTATCTCTTCATCGTCAACGGAGCACAAAGCCTGGCGCGCAGCGCCGACCTTACAATGGCTTGCTGTGCTTGTTGTTTGCATCCAAGGCATACGACGCAAGACTGCGAGCAAACAGGACCGTGTGTTCTTGCAGCCCTAAAACCCTGCTAACGTCGCCTCCAGGGCCTAGGGATTTCTGCACCTTCACAGGGCTGAGTAGCCAGCCGCAGTCGCCGTCGTGTAGTCAGCATGGGCATTCCTGTGAAGGAGCTGACAACTGAAAGCAGATGAAGCTCAAGCACATGTTGGCCCCCGTGATAGCAAGTCCAATGCAAACACACCCAAAGATCCTTGCGTACCCGCCCACGCCACCGCTGCCGTTGTCGAAGCCGGAGAGTTTGCTGGCATCTCCATCGGCCAGTTGCAGGGCCAGACGTTCGTTGCGGACAATGTGGTGGAATGCAATGACTTGATCTGCACCTGCAGGATGCATCTCTGATTTGCATGCGAGCAAGTGCTCAGTGCCTTCGGTATGAACCGCTGGCAAGTCGGAAGACCGGCGGCAAAACCCCTGCTAGAACTGCACTTGGCTGGCTTGGGACGAAGCATGGGACAAGTCAAAGTCGAGTGTTAGAAGCTGACCATTGACGACTTAGTCTACACAGTCTACACCACTTAGATCGAGGGCATCAGGTGTGGGCCTGTCGCTGATTTCACGACTTCGCAGATCTCTTTGTAGTACGCATCGATGATTCTTTGCTCGTCGTAGAAATCCTGCAGCGAGCATTCTGGATATCAGCCGAGCGATGCATCAGGCTCTGCAGATGAGCTTCGTACTTGCCACAAGCACAGAAACTTTTAAAAAATCCTGCTCTCATCGCTGCCAGCGGTGGCTCGATTAATTGGTGTGGTGGTGGTGTTTGGTGGTGTTGGTGGTGGTGGTGGTGGTGGTGGTGGTGGTGGTGGTGGTGGTGGCGGCGGTGGTGGTGGTGGTGGTCGCGGTGGTGGTGGTGGTGTCCATGATGGCAATGCCCACGCCGAGGATGCAACATGGATGGTGAGAACAAGAAGACCATCGGAACAGTGCTCGATGTCTGCTGCTCGTGCGGCATTTTGCGCTCGCCGTTTCTGGCAAGTTAAAACTCCTCCTGCTCACTGCCTTGGGCATGTGACCAGCCACAAAGGACCACACTTCAGAGAGAGTAGATTGCCGGCGAAGCCGCTCTTCTCAGAAGATCTCTACTCTGCATGCCCTTCTTGGGACTGCTCCATGGCCCAAGCGCGAAACTCGGAAGCATCGGTGAGAACAAGGCTGGACTCCTCAACGGTAACTCTTTCACAACAAGAGCACGACAGCTGCAGCTCCTGCAGCCCTTCCGGCAGGCTTCTCCCAAGAGCGGCCAGACCAGGATCTCCAATGTGGCAATGCGACAACTGCAGCTGCAAGCTGTCGAGCACAGTTAGCGCCTCCAACCCTTTCGAGAGGCCCTGGAGACCAGCATCACCAACTTTCTCACACACCGTCATGTCCAAATCTAAGATGCGCAGGCGCTTCGGCAAGTTTTTCCCAATTTCGGCCAAGCCGGCGTCACAGAGATTTGCACAGAATCTCAACACTAGCCTCAGGCCTGAAATTGGCAGATCCGACAATCCTTTCGCCAGCCCAACAAATCCATGAACCCCAATCTTCGTATTGTTGAAGAGCCGTAGATCCAGAGCCTCCAGCTTGGCAGGAAGATTAGCACCCAAAGCAATGAGCCCAGCATCGCCAATTTGGGGACAGTCAGAGAAGTCAAGGCTGAGTTCCCGGAGCTCAGGTGGGAGGCCATCTGCAAGGGCCTGTACCCCAGCATCGCCCAGCTTGGGCAACGGGAAGCAGCCCAGCCGCAGATGCTGAAGCCCTCTCGGCAATCGAAGTGCCAAGGTGGACAGCCCGGTGTCGCCGATGTCGCACTTCTGCATGTCAAGGTCCAGGCGCAGCAAAGACGGGGACAGCACCCCCGCCAAAGCAGCCAGCCCATCATCGGTGATCTGCTCTGAGAAGCTCCAGGACAGCACTAGTTCTTGCAGAACTGCCAAGCTTGACAGCCCGACTGCAAGACCGGCCAACCCAGCGTCTGTGAGGCTCTGGCACGAGTAGAGACAGAGCTCCAGATGCCTCAAATTGTCAGGAAGAGCCGAAACAAGCTTCCTCACTCCAACATCGCTTACTCTTTTGCATTGCGTGAAGTGGAGCTGCGCATATTGGAGCTCACCCGGGAACCTGGCACCCAGAACAGCCAACCCATCGTCGCCAATGTATTCACATGCCTGAAACTTCAGCTCTAAGCCTTGCAGGGTATTGGGCAATGCTGAGCTCAGCATATCAAGGTGCGAGTCCTCGATCGCTTCGGACTTCCAGCCAAGCTTCAATTCTCGTAGCGCGCGTTGACAACAGCGAAGTGCAAGACAAAGGCAAGGCACAGCTGTCAGTGGCACACGTGGTTCCACGAGCTGCAAGCTTCTGTCCAAACCCTCGGAGGCAGTGGAAGGGCCTGTTTCGACACCGTCTCCGAGCCTAGGCTCGGAAGCAGCAGCTGCTGCGATGGCTGGCTCAGCTGCCACCGGCCACTCACCGCCGAAGGCAGAAGCCGGGGGAACAGCAACGTTGACCACATGCCACTTGGCGGCCCAATCACGGAATAGAGAGGCATCGTTGAACATCTCGTCCTTCTGCCCCATAGACATGTTCCGGCAGAACTCCATGTTCATGCTCAAACGTTGCAGTTTGGGGGGCAGGCCAGCACCAAGTGCAGCAAGCCCGGAGTCGCTGAATTTCGTAAAGCTCAAGTCGAGTCTCAACTCTTCTAAGCAGAGAAGCCTGGAAAGTGCTGAGCCAAGGGCACAAAGCCCACTGTCTTCAAGCTCCAAGCAGAAGCCAAACTCCAGCTGCAAGCGTGTTGGTCTCAGCCTGGACAAGCCTGCAGCCAAAGCGGCTAGCCCTGCAGAACTGATGCGACTGGCGCCGTTGCAGAGAATGCACAACTCTGTCACATGTTCTGGCAATCCGTGCGCCAGGGCGGCCAGCCCGGCATCCGAAAGGTTGCAGGAAAGGTTGGCAAAGTTCAGCTGACAGAACAGCAAAGATTCTGGCAATGCCACTGACAAGGAGACCAAGCCAGCGTCACCCAAGTTCAAGCAGTTCCGCATTGAAATCTGGAAATGCTCCAACTGCCTCAGCTTCTTGAGGCCAGCTGCAATTCCTGCCAAACCTCCATCGCCGATGTTGCAGTACCTGGGGGTTTCCGAAAATAGGGGACCCTAATCTAGTACCCTAAAATAGTAGGATCCCCATTGTAAGGACCCCAGAATAAGGTACCCCTTGATTTCGGAAACTCCCACCTGAATTCCAGATCCAGGCATCGGAGCTCCCTCGGAAGGCAAGCTGCCAGACGGGCCGCACCAGCATCCCCAAGTCCGGTGCTAGTGAGGTCAAGCTTCAACAGCCGCAGCGAGTGTGGAAGCCCCTCTCCTAGAGCGGCTATCCCGGGATCGCCGATCTTGCGGCAGTAGAGGAAGCTCAGTTCTAAGTCCTGGAGCTCCGAGGGCCACCTAAGGACAGCCAAATCCTCATCTGAGAGCTTCGTGCAACTCCGAAAGGCAACTTGAAGATGCTGCATGGAAGCAGGAAAGCCGGCAGCCAAGGCAGCAAAGCCCTTCGCAGTCAACTTCTCGCAGCCACTTAAGTCCATCTGCAGCCGTCGCAGAGACTGGGGAAAGCACAATCCCAAGTCGGCGAGATGCACATCGCTGGGCAACATGTGCGTCAAGTCCAACTTCAACTCCGAACAGCTCTTATCTGCGCGAAGGGCTTCGTGGAAAGACAACTCTTGGACCTGTCCCTTGAGCAGCGCCTGCTCCAGGCCCGCTCTTGCAAAGATGCCCCCCAAGGATGTGTTGACGGTATCATAGTTGACATGCTGCCTGTCAGGCTCAGAGTCCAAGTCACTCTTCTGCACGATGGTGTTTAGAATGCGCCTGCGATCCTCCTCTTTAGAGGCCTGGGCCTCATGAAGCTTGGGCTGTAGCCCCCTACTCAAGACCTCGAGCGTGAAAGCTCGCTGCCTGTAGAGCTGCAATCGCTTTGCCAGGTTCGCACCCACGCCGCCTTCTTTCGGGGGGCCTTTTGAAGGTCCGCCATGCTCCTGGAGTGCACTCTCGAGCTGCTGCTCGGCCACTGTAAGACCATCTGTGAGCAGCGCAGCGGTTTCAACTCCGGGGATCTTCGTCGCAATGTCGAGGAGTAGATGCTGATGTCCGTTCCTCCTGTCACTCAGAGCAGTGTAAGCTTCAAAGGCACACCACAGGCGAGTGAAAGGGGTGGCATTGGTGTCCAAGATGATAAGCATGCCTTCCACCAGCTGCAGCGCTTTGAAGAAACTTGATGCTTTCGGATCTGAGGAAAGCTCTGCCTCCAGCGAGTGCTGCCTGTTGGCATAAGCACAAACCCAATACGCCCAAGCAGACTCTTCAGCATCAGCTCGTGCAGAGGCCGTGTTGAAACAGCGCACTTCTTGATGCTGAGAGACACATCGAATGAAATCACGCACAGGTTCGCCCCACCAATGGCTGCAGAACCATTGTGGCCGCTGATCACCTCTGGCTACCAACTCCACCCAAGCACAATCGTCGGCGACCGTAGCTGGCATGATCAGCCAGGTGCTGACATGGTAAAGGTTGGCGGTGGCTGGGTCAACATGTTGCTTCGATCGCACATCAAACCATTCCCACTCTGCAGCATGCTGTGTGACGAAGTCTTCGACCACCCGAAGTTGCTCAAGCGTGATGCCCCGAAGCTCCGTCCTTGGAATTTCACAGCACCTTGCAAACCTTGCAAGCAGGCGCATGTAGCCTTCAAACCGGTCAGCTGTCATGTCCAGTTCTGCCCTGATCTTCAAGGCTCGCGCCTTTGCCGGCTCTGATCCGAAGTCAAGGCCCAGCTTTGCTGGGGTCAAGATCTCACCGTGATTCTGTAGCTTCTCGCCGGGACTCTCAAATATCCAAGACACGAGCCCTTTGCATGTGAGACCGTGCGGGCCTGCGGTTTCGAATGCCTGCAGTGCACAGTCGATGCTCGACTCCGTAACCTTTAACTTCCGCAGCAAGTCTCTGACATCCTGGGGAGGAACTGGACCTTCGCCAAAGTGATTCTGCAACTTTTCCAGGACAGCATGCTCCATTCTCGCCAGATGCGGGCTGTCGCTTCGCTGCAATCAGGATCTGGGCCAAAATGGCTCCTCGAAGACAACTCCTTCCCGGCCAACATTACTAACGCTTGCCCGTGTCAAAAGCCGGCCTCTGCTGTCACCCTTGCCGACAGCACATTCTTGGGTGTGCAGAACAAACTGCCCATGCACAACACAAGCTACACACCTCGGTCTGCTCTCATCTTGTGCCTACACACGCTTCGAGACCACAACCCAGTTCCCGGGCGCAGGCCTGCTGCCTGAGCGCAGTTTCCTGACGTCGAAGAACAGCACCCTCGCGATCCTGGTGTGTGCGGCCGCTGATGCGACAGTCGTGGTGGTGGCTTCCCATGTTCTCCCGCCTGTGATGACACGGATGATATGATACACAAACAGTGTCCTTGCTAGCCTTTGCAGAATTGAGGAGCCGACGAGGCTGGGCTGCTCCCGCCGCGCATCGCAAATGAAGCGGGCCTGCCCCAACCCCTTCGTTACCTTAGCCTCGGCAAACCTGTGGTGCTCGTCTCATCGGGGGATCTGCAGGTGCAGGTAGCGACCGCGGATTCTACGGCGACTCTTGCTGCTTTTTCGAGCATCCGTGGGCAGAGCAAGCACCCCTGCCTGGGGTGCATACTGTACCGGCTCCCCGACGCCTTGCGACCAGAGCTATGAGGCTTGCTTCGAGCCTTGCTTCCAGAGCCACGAAGGCCGAAGCTGGGAGACATGGAGAAAACAAAGCAAGCCCTCCAAACGGTTGAACCAGATCCTGTATGCTTACATTCTTACATGCCCTACGAAAGGTTCGAAAGGTCGAAAACATCAACACCTATCCGCTTAGTGAGTGGCGGACAAGAAGGTACTAAAGCTCTGATACGAACTTGGAAACCCCACTTCCGATCAACCCCTGCTATCTCTGGATCGTAACCCCAGCCCACGAGCCCCAGAAGCACCCTTCAGCCGAAACCCTAATTAAATAAGAGAACAAAAACGAAACCCTAAACCCCAAAACCCCAAAACCCTAAAACCCTTAAACCCCAAAACCCTAAAACCCTAACCCGGCCTGGTGACGAGGCACCGGCCGCACCCATCGCCAGGTACGGCCGGGCTCCATGGCCCGGTGCCTGGAAAAATCGAAGTCCAGAGCCTACTTGCTTTTGTTGTTTGTTTTTTTTTTTTTT